CATAGTGGGTGAGGCCCAATGACAGGCGAGGCCTGAGAATAACAGATCTGTAAACAGAGCGGGGCTCGGTGCCAGGCGGGGCCCGATGTAGGGAGGGGGCCCAGTATGTGATTTTATTATGTATGGTATGGGGTAGTTTGGGGAACACACTAAGCTTTGTGCTTACGGTTTTAAGTTTATGTTTCAGGTACTTCTGGTTCCAAGGGGAAGAGCTCAGGATGACTGCATCACACACACCATATGGATTCCGCTTTTGAGATATTACTCTGATTATTATGATGATGATATACTTATTTTCTTTTGGGTTGTATGGATAATGTTTTTGGGAATATCGTTTATTTAAATTAAAAATGAAATTTTTGGATCAAATTTTTGGAACGTTTCACGAGTACTACAACTTTCATTTAGACTCTGTCGGCTAATTCTCACTCCATTTTAAATTTAACACTCTATGAAGATTACACTGCAAAAGACCGTGCAAAATTCATAACTTTTTCATAATAACTATGTTCTCGACTGTCTTTATATCGACAGATTCGTATTCGCGAGATCTTCAACTTTTGTTTTTATTGTTTTGGCTAACAATCAACCGATTTTAATTTCGATTTCTGTGTGGCACACTATTGTATTATGTCGCATCAAAACTTCTAAAAATCATAACTTCCTCATATGACGTCAGATTTACACGCTCTCGTTTTTACGATTAATACGACTTTTGTTTAGATTACTTAGACTAATAAGCAACCTATCTCCGGTTCACTTCTTACGATGCACTCTGCTGTATGGGACTAAATACGAAACTTCGAAGAATCTTAACTTCTTCATATGAAGTCAGATTTAAGCGTTCCTTATATTCCCCAAATCATCATCATGACTAGTACAATTTTCATCAAAACTATTTATCCTAAATAATATTTTATTTTTAATGTTTATTTTAGCCCCATTTATTAAGTTTTTATACAAATATTATATACACCTAATATTTATCCAATTCTCCATGTACATAATATATAAACATATATATTCAAATAATTCTCTTCATTTATACATAAAAGGTTACAATCGCCGACCAACGTAAATACATCTTTTATATCTAATGCTTAGCAAGAAATACAGATGCTACACTAGAGGCTATCAATCTTATTGGGAAGGTGGGAGGAGAAGAAGGGTAAGAGTGGGGTTTGCATCCCTTCTAATATTTTAATTTCATAAAACATTAAAATACCAAAAAAATAATAATAATAATTTTACCTCACAAATGGTGTGTTAATGGATAGGAGATAACTGATGAAACCTATTGAAAATGACTAAATTTGTAATTTTTGAAACCACATGGACAAAAACCGCAAAAAAGCAAACCATATGAACCAAATTTGTCGTTTTCTCTACAAATTCTTTTAACAAAAGAAAATGAGTTCATGAAAATTTCAGGTTATATTCAGAAACGTTTTAAGATATTCATAAGATATCAGGTGGCGCTCATTTGACCTCATGTCTGCTACAATATATGTAAAATCAAGACTATAATGGATAGGATAGGGGTATTAGTGGGCAGTTGCATATGGTCCATTTTTTTTTGAAGCCTACTTTTTTTATTTATATATTATATACATATTTATTTATTTAAAAATAAAAAACTTATAATAACAATAAGGATCCTTCTGGTTTGTCCTGAACATTTTGAGGATATTTAAGTCCTCCAGACCGGTCCTGACACATAGTAAAATACCAAACACATTTCACATATATGTCTAATTTCCCACAAAGGCAACAATGGGATTTTACTTCCAATTATGACATTATAATAACTAATTCAGTGATTTATAGTTATACTTTCAAGCGCCAATCACTTCACAAGTGATTTTAGATCCACTACATGCCCATTTCATCATATACATTTTGATGTTTCTTTTATTAAAATAACACCGCTATCTTATTTGATATCATCTAAAGATACTTGCTAAATATGCACTTCATCTACCATGTTATAACATGCAAGAAACTACATCATCAATTTTTAGCTCCTAACTTGAGAATCCTCAACACGCCTTTTTAATTTGGTCATGTGTTCATAACATTAGTCACACATCCATCATTTTCCGTAAATTTTAACAAATAATCTAAAATGTGCCAAGTTGTCAAGTTACCCCCAATTTCCATGCACCAATATTACATTTAATTTGCATACTTTAGAGGTAATATTTCCCTTAAAAATATGTTATCCTTAATAATAATATTTACTTTATAATCACAAACATGAAACACGCATCAAGATGAAGTAGAGATTATACCTTCAAATTTTTGTAATAAATATTATCAAATCTTGTTAGAAATTAAAGAAATTTGATCTCAAGCATGAAAAAGATGAAGTAGAGAATCATTTAATAAATAAAATTAAGGGGTAAACAGAATTAAGAGTTTCTTTATTAAATTCCAACTTGTTACGTATTTATCCTAATTCATCTGTCAGTGTTACCATTCTTTTCAAATAATCTTTTAAGATCATCATATGATATATATATATATATATATATATAT